TATATATATATATATGGGACCGGCAAAAAGAAAAGTAATTTGACAATTTGTATCCGGATTTCATTTCTTTGTAAAATGGTATTAGTAGAGTTCTAAAACAATTTTGTAACCTTAAAAAAAGAACGAAAAAAGATTTAGGTTACATTATTTTGGAAATCTTTTCCAGAAAGAAACGTTAAGCAATATTCAGTGACATTAAAAATAAATCTAGACAAATCATAGGATGCTTAGATAATTTACTTTTAAGATTTGATATGAGTTATGACAGAGCACCTTAGAGATTAATGTGGATTTCCTTTTCGTAAATCAACACATGTGATTCTTGGCGTAAAACTCCTAAATCTAATATGTGATTCTTAATAGAAAATATAGATAATATTTCTTTAAGAAATTTATAAAAATAGTCATTTTCAAGGATCAAATTCATCTCTTACCATTTATCTCGGCAAAGAATATCACCAACTCAACAAGTGGTACCTCCCTAACTTGCGGAGGAGCTAAATCACAAAAAATAAATTTAAAAGTTCAATTTTCATCCACTTGTGGAGGTGCCATTTGCAGACCTGTGTGAAAAGTGATTTTTTTTTTGTCTTTAATTCATCCGCGAGTCATGAGGTACCATTTGTATAAACCACTCATATTTGTACAAACCGTGCTAACCATCTTCGTCCGTCGATTTCATTGTTTTATCTTATGAAATTGTTTCATATAATATATTTTTTTTGATAAAGTTGTTTCATATATGGTTATGAAATTTTAATGAAACTGTTTCGTGTATTTTTCTAAAATTAATATAATGAAGACGATAATATCTATAATTAACATCCTCCACAATTATGATTGGTTGAATGAGGTTTGTAGTTTGTACAAATAACGTGGTTTGCAAAATAAACCTCCTATATATAGGGTTGGGTTCACGTGAGACCAACCTGCTTTTTAAGACCCATGAGACCACTTTTTTACATTTAAAACTTTACAGCAAAACGCTGTGAAGGTAAAAAAACCAAACCTTCACAGGAAAAACACTGCGAAGGTTACCTTCACAACGTTTATCTATGAAGTTTCAAGTATAAAAAAATGGTCTCACAAAATCAAACTGGTCTCATGTGATTCAAAATCTCTCTCTCTATATATATATCATAATTATTTAAGGTATTTTTAAAAATAAGAGTTATAAAATATTTGTTAAAAGAAATAAGATGAGTATTTTAGGAGGGAAAGAGTACAATTATTCATCCAAACAAAAACAGCAACTAGGAGTGGTAATGGTAATGGTAATGGTAATGGTAGTGGTAGTACTACCATACTAATGCTTGGTGGGGCAACCTGCCTTCATTTCCCATTTATTTCCTTCTATCATGATTCATAACCACACCACTCCACTCCAATTTTTATCATATCATATCATATTTACAAACTGAATTTCAAGATTCCTTTTAAATTCATGATATTGTAATTTCATTATTCTATTAATCTCATTTGGTTTGAAGTATCTTTCTATAACGTTAAGTTTATTTCTGATTTATACCATAAGCATGTTTACGATTTCATATTCGTTTTTGAGATCCACTAATATTCAATCCCATGAGGAATTACGGTTCATTTTGAATATTGTATATGGTTGTGTGATTGTGTTTTTGGCCAACTTGTGTTCACATAATTAGAGCTACATGTTTATTTTTCTGAGAGATAATATAATAACAACACAAAATGGCCAGCTAAAATGAGAGGTGTAGTTAATGGTGCACACTGTACTATTGGTATTGAAGGACCTACATTTTGAATAAACAAAAGTTACGAGGGAGGGGAATGCGAATACCCTTTCATGGACAGGAAAATCAACCAATCACGAAGAAGGGTAAGTGAAAACATAAATAAAGGTGAATTAAAGTCAGAATAACAGTATGTTATCGGCATTTCTATGATGGTCAAATTAATAGGAATAATGACACTTCCATTCAATATGTTTGACCAAAAATAGACGCCCACGACTAATCCATGTGTACTCGTTTTTTCATTACATAACACATGTGAGCCAACCACCGATATTTAATGAATGAAGTCGACACCACTTTCATCATCTTCTTCAGTGGCTCGCAATATGTTGTGAACAAGATCCAAGAATCCTGAACCAGTGGTACATTTCGTCGATTGTTTAGAATTTGTCATGACACATTACCTATAACATCCCTGGTAGATGATTATAGTTGGCACAAACACACAAACACCCGTTTTGTACGAAAAAGGAGCAAAGCATGTTGAATCCATAAATGACTATTGTGCCATCAACTTTAACTCAAAATGACATCTCATGATGGACATGCCAATTTCATATATGACGTTTTCCCAACTACACCCAGATTCACTGTCACAACCATGGAAAAGGTCATAAAAACTTGACGCAAGTTGATAACACGTTTATTTTTGTCGCTCTATATCATATCAGCTCACCAGTAACTTTCTGTTGAATACAAGAACATTTAACCATGAGTGCAAAATGCATACAAGAGTTGAATCGTTTAAAATATATCATACACAAATACTTTCACAGATACATAATACTGATTTTTTTTAATAAAAAAATGATAAAACAAACCATGTTGTCGAAAGTGCAATTATTGATCAAGCTTGTTTTCTCCCATACATCACATGATCAAAGTTGAAGTCTATGGTACTCATCATTTAATTAAACACTATAACCACTTTATTTTTGGTGAAAAAAAGGAAATAAAAAATTATGGGGTTTTATTGATAATTCAAGAATACAATATAAGGTTATGATGTGGTATTGTACTTTGTGATTCCAATGTTGTACAACATGTTTAGGGCAAAAAAACCATGTTTAGGAATTGGGATATTCATAGTAAAAATGACACCATGTTTTTTTTATTTTCATACCATGTTTGGAAATTCTAATTTATTATCACATCATTAAATAAAGCAATTTTGCTTAATTGTTAGTTAAATATCTGATATCACATCTTTTAACTCATTATACATTTAAATCAATGTTCCAAAACTAGAATACAAACTGTTATTTTAACATCTATATGTACATAAATAAATGTAACTTTTTTTATCTGGTAGAATTTAATTCAAACTTTTCGTTAATAATGATTATTTCATTTTGGGTTACAAATTCTAATGCTTTTAGTTAAAATTGTACGTAATAATGAAACATTTGATGAAAAGTTAATTATAGAAACTAAACAATGTCGTTGACAGAAGTAACATCTATATCAGTATTTGTTTATATTTGTATTTTTTTTGCCACAATTATCGACTAATTAAATCAAGATTCTTATTAAATCTATAACCGAGTGGCTTACAATTTTTTTTTTGTGAGTATATATCTTTTTAAACCAATTAAAAACAAATGAAATAATGTTTCATACAAAATTAAACGTTAGAACCAAAGTTTTTGTGCAAGAAATTTAAAAATGTGTAATTAAGAACTCACGTATAATGATAATCACTCATAAAACTATACTTCTTTACGTATAAAACCTACTACCGGAGATGTTTTAAGAGATCTCCAATGCAAGGTTCTTATAAGTAAAAAATCAATATTGTAGAGAGTTTTTAGCATCTATAATGGAGGTTCTTATAAGAACATTTTTTTTTGTTGCCACCTCAATTCAATCTCATCAAATTAAGAACTCAGATAAAAACCCACAATGATAGTTCATATAAGAGCATTTCTAATGCAAGGTTCTTGTTAGCAAAAAATGCAGTAGCTTGTACCATTATGAAAATGTGTTTGAATAAAAACATTGGTTTTCACCATGAAGTTTATGATATTTTACTTATTTTATTTTTTTGATTTATAATTATTAATATAATAATTTTGATGTTGAAAGAATCCACAAGACCCGTAAAAAAAAGAGATTCTTATAAGAACCATCATTATCAACTTTTAAAAGAGTTTTCTTAATTTGATGAGTTGGAGATGTGTTAACAGTAAAAAGTGTAAAAAATAGGTTCTTATAATTAACATCCATTGAAGATGCTCTTAAGAACCTCTTTTTTGTGGGTCTCCTATATTTTTTTCAATATTCATAAATTATTAAACATATAATAGAAAATGTTATTTAACACCAACTTCATGATAAGAATCAAGGTTTTTTGTCTAAAAACTCAAAAGACGTGAGATTCTTATAAGAACTCTTCACAATAATTGTTGTACAAGTCATTTAACTTTTAACTTACAAGAATCTTGCATTAGAGATGCAATTGAACTTGGTTTTTACCTCGAGGTTTGATATGAAATGACAATTTATTATTATTTTTTATACTAGAAGGGTACTCGCGCAATGCAGCGAGATACATCTTGATTTTAATATTTCATTTTATTATTTATCTTAGTCGATGTTATAATATGGTTTTATGTAATTTTGAAAAAAAAACGATAATGTTTTTATTTTTGAATAAAATATAAATCTGAAGATATCATTAAAATTAGACAAAAATATATCGATATTAGTATCAAATTAACTATTTAAAATTCATAAATTTTGTGTAATTTTTTATTATAATTTAATTTAGGTTCAATAACGAAGTAATTTATATTTGGTTTAATAATATAATTATTTTATAAAGATAATAATTAATTATTTTGTTATAACTCGATAATTATCCTAATTATATTTTAGATTTTTTATATTTTAAAATAAGATGTTTATCCGAAGTTAGTTACACGAATTCAAACATGAAGCTTCAATAAGTTGTACTTATGAATAATTTACTTGTAATCTTGAATTTTAAGTAATATGCATCAGTATACAGTACTTYATGCATAAAAAATGATTTTTAARAGTTTTTGTCAAATACTTTATAATATAGTATAGATATTTTATTAACTTTTATATTCAATATAATAATTATTTAACTTATATTATACATAAGATTTATAAAATATATTCTTATAAAAGCTACCGTTATAAAGTTGATGACTTATAAATATGTTGTGTACTCCGTTAAACGACTTTTATATCGGCTTACCCAAATCAAACTTATTACAAGGACCGTATTTTAACCTAGACTCGATTTAATTTGTATATGGGTACGAGTAGCGAGGAGTGAGTAGTAGTAATATATTCCGATGAAGATTGGGGGTTGAGGTGTGTTGGGGTTGTGTTGTGTTGTGTTGTCCGCCTGTTGGTCCATTGGGGGTCGCGCCCACCCCTCACGAGCCTTCCTTCCTTCATCTCCACACCACTTGTATTCGCTGTACTATTTTTATGCTTCCACCTATCATCTCTCTCCCTCTTTCTCTTTCTCTTTCTCTTTCACAAATCACTCCCACTCGCAACCTTTCACCCAATCACCAATGCTCAGATTCTTCATCCATTCACTATTTGTTAATCCTTAGCCCTTTTCTTCATCCCCAATCGCAGAATTTAAGATACACAGACCTTGATTTGATTCAAAACAAATATGAAACGAGATTACCCACAACAGAATTACACTTTCTTTAATGGCGCCAGTTCCATTTCAGCTGCTGCTGGTAGTGGTAGTGGTAGTAGTGGTGCTGGGTTTTCGGATTTGAGGTCGGAGGTCACCGGGAAATCTAAGATGTGGGATGAAGAACAAGATGCCGGCGTTGATGAGTTGTTAGCGGTTCTTGGTTACAAAGTTAAGTCGTCTGATATGGCTGATGTCGCGCAAAAGATCGAGCATCTTGAGGGGGTTTTGGGTAACGATGATGGGTTGTCTCAGCTCGCCTCCGATTCTGTTCATTATAACCCTTCCGATCTATCGTCGTGGCTTGAGTCCATGATTTGCGAGCTTAACCCCACCGTTCAACCGCTCGATGATTCATTTGTCAATGGTGTTACTCCCACCGGAACCACCGCTGTAACCTCGTTGGCTGTCGACTCCTCTTCTGGATTCGTGGATGATCTTCAAGCGATCCCTGGAAACGCGATTTACCCTCCGACCAAAAAACAAAAACCCTCGTCTCCATCATCTGGAGCTTCCTCCTCGTACCAGCCGAACCCGATAGTCCTCGTCGATTCACAGGAAAACGGGATCCGACTTGTTCACACTCTGATGGCTTGCGCCGAAGCCGTCCAGCAAGACGACCTCAAAGTCGCAGAGACCTTGGTGAAACAAGCTGGAATTTTAGCCGTGTCTCAAGCCGGCGCCATGAGGAAAGTCGCGACGTATTTTGCCGAAGCCCTTGCTCGGAGAATTTATCGGCTATGCCATAAAACGCCACAAGATTCGCCGGCGTTCCAAGATCTTCTTCAGATGCACTTTTACGAAACTTGCCCTTACCTCAAATTCGCCCATTTTACAGCAAATCAAGCCATATTAGAAGCTTTTGCAGGTAAGAAGCGGGTTCATGTGATCGATTTTAGCATGAAACAAGGTATGCAGTGGCCGGCTTTGATGCAAGCTTTGGCTCTTAGACCCGGTGGTCCGCCTACGTTTCGGTTAACCGGAATTGGTCCACCTTCAGGTGATAATACGGATCATTTGCAGGAGGTGGGTTGGAAATTGGCTCAATTGGCTGATACAATTCATGTGGAGTTTGAGTACAGGGGTTTTCTTGCTGAAAGCCTGGCTGATCTTGAACCGGCGATGCTTGATTTAAGAGAAGGAGAAGTTGTTGCAGTTAACTCGGTTTTTGAGTTGCATCAATTGTTGGCCAGACCGGGGGCCGTCGAGAAGGTTTTGTCGGCGGTGAAGGAGATGAAGCCGGAGATTTTAACGGTGGTGGAGCAAGAAGCTAATCATAACGGACCGGTATTCTTAGAGCGGTTCACCGAGTCTTTACATTACTATTCCACCCTTTTTGACTCGCTTGAGAGCAGCGGCAACGGCGGCGGAGGTGTGGACGGTGGTGGTATTGCGGCGGCGAGTAATCAAGATAAGATTATGTCTGAGGTGTATTTGGGAAAGCAGATCTGTAACGTGGTTGCGTGTGAAGGACCAGACCGAGTTGAACGGCACCAGACGTTGACTCAATGGAAAACCCGATTCGAGTCGTCTGGGTTTGAAGCGGTTCATCTGGGTTCCAACGCTTACAAGCAAGCTAGTATGTTGTTGGCTCTGTTCGCCGGCGGCGACGGCTACAGAGTGGAGGAAAACAACGGTTGTTTGATGTTGGGTTGGCATACTCGACCGCTGATCACCACGTCGGCTTGGAAGCTCCGATGATGTGGAGCGAGTTGACTCAGAAGGAAAAAGAAATTGCTGAGTTGGTGAGTTGGAAAAACTAAGACCCAAAAGCTTGGGTTTTTTGTTTATTTTAATTACCAAAGTAATTTTTTTAAGTGTTTTTTATTTTAAATTGGGAGCTTGGGGGGTAAAATTGGAATTAGTTTAAGATGTGTGAGTTGAATGGAATCTTGTAATTTTATCAAGGCGTTGAATGAAAATAGGGACGATGTGAATTTTATAGCACCTATAACTTGCTTTATAAATAATGACTTTTTTACCCCTTGCTCCTTCTTGATCTTTTAAATTTTTTGTAAGAATATAATAATAATAATAATAATAATAATAAATAAATGAATTATTAAAATGAAGAGGTGGATCGATAGATTCAATTATGAAGTCGCAAGTCCCTATCCATCCTATGCATTTCTTTATATAAGTAATCGAGGAATAAAGCAACCTCCCAACTTTCTTTTCATACTCAATAAATAAATTATTATAATCCACAGAAAACGACTTCATCCATTTTTTATAACTTTCGTCAATGTTCATTATAGTCTCTATAAACATCAATAACGTATGAATCTAATTAAAGTGACTACACGTATGACTTTTTGACTTAAAAATCACCATTTTCTTCATTCAAATGGGTCTCTAAACAATTTCTCTTCACCTAAATGTCACTATTTCCGTAATATCCACGATGAACCTAGTTAAAGACCAATAATTCAACATAAATATACAAATGCAATGGTCAGGTCTATAATTGTAACGGTAAACTGGTTGAATTTGACATTTTTCTGTCTTTTTAGCTACATATGTAATATAACAAACTCGTTTATTGCAGATGTACCAACATATGGGTCAATCAAGGATAAAAATGGTTAGGAGAGCGATTTGAACAGGTGAAACGAACATATATGTGTATAAATATGTGTGCGATGAATTGAATATTAGGTATGTTACTTTAGTTTTGTTATTAATTAAGGAACAAGTATGAGTTTGAATTCAATTTTGTTGTACTTTTTTTTTTATCCCAAGAGAATTTTATATTATTTAAATTTAAAGTAATTGTGTTTCCGTATTGTGAAGATAAATTAATTTTTTTGCAGATAAATATTGATTATGTAGGGGGGTACCTAAAGGCTAGGTGTAGGTAGCTGTGTGTATATAAAGGGCAGGAATTTTATGTACTTAAATCAGTCAACTATTTCGCTAAATGTATTTCTTTTACGTTACTCATAAATACATTTTTATTTATTAACTAGTTATATACCCATGTAATGTGACACGAGCCGATAAAAATGCAAATTTTCACCTTGAGTTGTATTGTTTGTGTAAAAATCATATTCTTAAATATACACATGCAAAAAACTATGTTACAAACTATATTAAAACATAGTAAGTGAAAATATGTCACAAAATAGTAAAATGAAAATACCTCATTATTAGAATTTTGATAAAAATGCAAATCGTCACCACCGTAAGTTATTTGGTTTGTGTAAATATCATATTCCTAAACATATACATGCAAAAAAAACCTATATTTTACAAACTAGCAAGTTAAAATATGTCGCAAAATAGTAAGTGAAAAAACCTCAGAGTAATCGTCTTTCCAAATTATAAAGAGAAAATATTGAAATGATTATTTGTGAATGGAAATACAAATTTCACTTCTCTTTTTATAGCAATAGTAAAATACATATCATGTTTTTCAATATATTACTTACCTGTTTGTTTATTTAAGTTAGATTTATAAATATACTGAAAATAATATAATAAATAAGAAAAGAAATAAAATGCTACTAAATTCAAAATTATAAATGATTATTCTTATTATATTGTATAAACAATATATTTACGTATGTATATGTTTTTATTATATTGTTAAAATTAAATCTTTTGATCCTTTTAATTTAACCATTTCTAGTCATGCGTGTCACGATTCAAAAAGAAAAGTCAGGGGTGTCATCATTTTCAAGGCTATTTACATATATATTGACTTATAATATTGGAATTTGCACACATATTTCTTTGACTTTTAATATTGGAACTTATACCTTAAACTGCACCCTAAACCTATGGGGGGAGGGGTGCAAATAACAACCCCTTCTTAGCTATAGTTTATAATTTTTTTTGTTATTCTCATCCCTCAAACAAAGTGACTGCTTACTTACATGTTACAACTTAACAGGCTTAATGGACTACATGGCTCATTCGCACAACTATTTTTGGTTGTTTACTACGGGTTTAATAAAAAAATTACATAGCTTATTCATACAGTTGAAATACTTAGTTATCGAGATTCCGTCGTCCAAAATTACCTTCCCTACCCCTTGTTAAAACACGCACCATATGAAAAAGAAGATAATCTGGCATCCCTTGCACTCTATGTTCTCATCACCCTCTCTTCTTTTTCCTCCAGCGATGGCGACCTCATCGCCGGACGTCACCCTCTCTCCTTCTTCCTCCACGATGACGACCTCATCGTCGAACGTCAACCTCTCATCACCCTCACTTTTGCACAAACCATGTGGTTTACCCCCAAAATACTCCTGGGTTTCCAGGTTTTCTTTTTCTTCAGATGACAACTAATTTATCAATCAATCATTAACTTATCAACTATTTTTGAAACCGGATCTGAATTTTACCAATACCAAGTGTTAAAAAAAGACCAAAGCAACTGGAAGTTGAAGTCCTCATATCCAACCTAAATCCCACTTTCTATGCATGTTGTATGCTTTAAAAAGAAGCCAAAGAATGAAAGACAAAATGGAAGAAAGATTTATTTGGACCGTTAATTAAAAAAACAATTATTTGATTATCTATCGTATCTTCAATTTTTTGGGCAAATAATTATTGTTTTTGATTTTCTTTACATATTATGTCTGAGCTTGAATTTTTGTCTGATTTTGGATGTTAATATTACTTTTGAGGTTAGATTGTTTTTGAGTTTGAAATTGTATTATATCTAAACTTTAGATCAGTGATTTTGATTTGGTTTAGGGTTTTGGTGGTGAGATGATGGTGTTTTCATCGAGAAAAAACCTTGTCAGAGGGGACGGGATGTTCATGTCCTTGACATCACAGTAAAAGAGGGGTCACTCAATAGTTAAAGATAACAACCATTATTGACAAGGGGATAATTCAATAAAGTAATTCAACCATAGAGACCGGAAACCGTTATACAAGTGCAATTGTAAGTACACATTTTGTTACCATTTAAAAATAGAGAGAAGATCCGTTAAAGCACCAAACCACAAATACGAAAAACTTGAAATTTTATAAGAAAATGATTGATTTTAAAGCACAGGTAATTACATTATTATATAAAAAATCATTAAAATAACAATGCTTAATTTAAAAAATAAAAAAACTAATGGCCACTTGTTAGATTGCAACTAAGCTTTCTTTAATGACAAGATCTCGACATAAATTATTAGCACCAATATAATGAAAAATTCAAAACCCCACATGTTTTATTTGCCATATTATTTTTTATAAAGCAAAAAAAAAAAATAAACAAGTAATATACATAATTTAATTATTATAAATACATAATTTCTTTAAAAGATGCAGTAAAATTGGGTTTTTTATTTGTATTTTTACTATTTTTACAGAATCATGTAATTTTAAAGAAAATCTATAATCAAAAGCTATACAGGCTAAGCGAATTTTCTTTACTTAAAAGTATATAAGTAAATGGCAAAAGGTATTCAGATTTAATGTATTATTTCTTTTATATTTTAAATAAATCCTTTTATATTTTAAATCATTTTATATTGATGGTTTATCAATAATTTTTTTAATTAAATGTAACTAGCTATCAACTGATAATTAACTTTTAAGTTAAGAACTAACTTATCAAATATTTTGTTAAACTAGAAGAATACTCGCGCAATGCAGCGAGACACATCTTGATTTTAATGTTCTAATTTATTATTTCTATCTGTCGATGTTATAATACGATTTTATGTGTTCACATAAAAACGATAATGATTTTATTTTTGAATAAAATATAAATTTGAAAGAAAAAAATATATCAATGTTAATATCAAATCAACTATTTAAAAGTTCTTATTTTTTATATAATTTATTTAACTTATTTTTTTTGTTATAATTTAATTTAAGTTTAATAACGAAATAATTTATTTTTGGTTTAATAATATAATATTTTATAAAGATAATAATTAAGTATTCTGTTAGAACTTAATGATTATCCTAATTATATTTTAGATTTTTTATATTTAAAATTAGATGTTTATCCTGTATTTGATCATGTTTATCTACAGTTAGTTACACGAATTCAAATATAGAGCTTTAATAAGTTGTACTTACGTACAATCTATTTGCAATCTTGAGTTTTAAGTAATATGCATTAATAAACAGTTGTTTACGCATAAAAAATGGTTTTTAAGAGTTTTTGTCAAATGTTTTATAATATAGTATAGATATAGTCTAAAAATGATCAACTAAGACTTCGTTTTGAACACAATTTATTCAATAGGTTATGTTTTGACATGGTTTTTTTTTACCAAAGGGTCATGGGGTTTAAGGAATTCGAGTTTTACCGACAAAGCGTAGTGTATTTGGTGGTCAATGGTTCAAATTGTACAAAAGGCGAGGTGTATGTGAATATTTTACGGAGATAAACATTATATATTTAAAAAAGTAGTTTTTTTTTTCAAACTATAAAACCCTTAAACATACATTTCGAAAGTATACGTTTTATAAAATAACACTTGAATGAAAATACATTTTTTAGACCACAAAAATATTGAGAGTGGCGAGAACTAATTAAGCATGAGAATGGGATCCGATCCGTAGGGAAAATCAGTTCACCCGTCCTGATCGGGAATAGGGATTCCCTGCTAAACTGGGGACGAGGATCCCCATTTGTTTCAAACCGAGGATGGGGAGCAGGATGAGTATCATACTGCAGCCCGCCCCATACCCGTTATATATACACATTAATTAATAAATATTATATATATACTATTTATTTCAACTAAATCGGTAATTTATAATTTTTTTTTATTTCTTAACTAAGTTTAGAATATAAAATTGTTAGTCTTTTTATGTTAGTATGTAATATTTTAGATATCAAGTCAAAATACAATTATTTGATGTGGTTTTGTATTACTCAATATGTTTTGTATGCGTGACGTTAAGTTTTTTTTAGATTAAAGTTAATTTCTTTGGCTATAGGTTATTAAAATTATTATATGATATTGTGATATTTTTTGTATTTAAATTAAATTTCTTTTGATTTTAGGTTTATCGGAAATATGTGAGTATGTGCGGTCTCTCATATATTTGATTTATAAAGGCTTACATAAGCGGGAAAAAATCTTTGTTTTCCCATTGGGGATTCCCGTACCCTATTGGGTATAGGGATGTGGATGTGATCATATTCTCTGACAGGAATGAGGACGGAGACAAGGATGAAGATGAGGAACCGGACGGGGATGGTGATCGAGGTCCCCGCCCCATTCCCATGCCTAGAACTAATCACAACCATTCAAATGTCTATTGAGTTTCATTTCGACTGTAATTCAAGGTTTTATTATTGTTTATGTGGGTGTATGTGTTTCATATATGAAACGTATCAACATGCTTTATTTTCGACCCGTACTTATGTTTGACAATTATGTTTTACTTGTTTTATTCTCATATATAAGACAATTATGTTTGTTTTAAACGTGAAAGAAAATTATATGTTTAACCACGTGTGGGGTTAACTCAACTCCTAATTAGACTTAGGCTTTGGGAGATTGTAACACCCAGGCTAATTGTACCAGACATTGTCTGCTTTGTTCTCACAGTTTTAAAACGCGTCTGATAGATGAGGTATCAAGCCCTTATAAGATAATCTTTGTTCCCCTCCCAAACGAATGTGGGATCTTACAAAGATCTTTCTCGAATACCAGCGGTTCAAGTTCTACAAAGTCACTATAGATTGTTTTGGCTTTTCTCTAGATCCCCTGAAATTAGTCGAGATTCACACAAC